GTAAAGACAGACTTATAGTTGTGGACTAATAGACAAATACAATTGACTATATTAAGTTCATTGTAGAACATAAAGCAAGCAGAAACCTAATATGGTAATATTTAATAATTACATTAATTAGGTACAGTAGCTATTGACTATTTAATAATAGCATAATAAGATTAATAGTTACTGGTCAGTGGTCATCAATATTGTTAAGTAGGTACATACACATTGCGATTTAATATAACGTCATATAGATGTACTTTAAACCAGTGAACGTGTTTGATAATTGATAATAATTAAGATATTTGATCAGACTTTCAGTGTTGTGTTAATTATTTAATATTCACATATGCGTATTTTAAAACATAATTAATATCACGTGAGAAATATTGAAGTTAAGGACGAGCATTTTCATTTAATCGTTTTGTTCCATAGACGCTGCAGGAGATTAGTGGTTGAATTATTAAAATATAATATGGTAGTATTTTTTCGATTTCGAACTTGTCTTTGGAATACATTTTTGTTCAACCGTCGTGTATAGGTTTAATGGTGTAATAGTGTTTACAGAAGTATTCGTAAACGATTCAATTTCGAATGAAAAATATTTATGTATGGTATCCGCTTGTCTGCTATATTAGTTGATCACTTTATGATGAGGGGAAGGTAGAAACAGGGCGTATTTTCAAATTGTTTGTGTGGGAAGGTTTAAAAATGTTCTAGAAAATAAGTGATTTTATAATATAATTAAAAAAAAAAAAAATACATATAAGGTACGAATTAATAATTATATTATATTATTATTATAAATACAAGTTAAAAGTTATTTATAATAAGAAAGGTAAATGTCTTTTTTTGTCAGTTCATCAATAATTAATGTTCTCTTTCTCTGTACCTTTTATTTATTTTACCTATTTATTTTATAATCTAACCATTTTTTTCTACTGTGAAGGGAGAGGGGTCTATATAATTATAAAATAATTATTATTGCAATAAAATAAACATTAATTATAATAAAAAAAATATTAAACAAATAAAAATATAATGCATTTTAAAAATAACAATGTGAATAAATTATTAATTAATTATAATTATTTAGGAAATTGTAAAAGTGTATTATTGTAATGTGATGAAAAACAAATTGTTAAATGAAAAAATATTACCGATTATTATTGTAATAAATGTGCTGAAATGAAAATAGGAAATTTTTAAATTATGAATCACAAAGTTATTAGGAGTTCTTTCATTTGTTGTAATAAACTAATATACAGTGTGATCACGATAAATGGAAACACTCAATAACTTTGTGCAGACTTCATATATTTAAATTCTGTTTTTTTGGCTTACTAATAAACATTATTATACACATTTTCAAATAATTAGATTATTTTTGTAACAATTAATTAACTTTTTTTAAAAAACTTTTTTTTTTTTAAATGACATGACCTATTTTTAACCATAAATTATTTTTTTCTGTATTTTTTAATGAATTTTAGTGGTTGAATTTCTTTTCTAAGTTAAAAATTGGCTAAGTTATAGCAACTTGATTTTATGTTATATGCACGGGTATAACAGATTATAAAATACATAATTAATAATAATAAAAATAAAAATAACTACCTAATCCAATTAATGAAATACCTGTTTGCCTATTTTGTTTATCTTTATCAAAATTATCTCAGTAATTATATTATAGTTAATATCATATTTGCATAGGTACTAGTTATAAATTAAATTAATGAATTTTTCATAGTCGATATTATTCTGGAGTAAGTGTCACTAGTGGCAGTAACTAATAAGAAAGAAAAATCGATATGTTGTAGTTTTTAAACAGATTTAATACTTATCTATTAGTTATTATGGATAATAATTCAGAAAATGTATTTAACGAAAATTATTTATAGTGGCATACAGAAGTATTTTGAGAGTCATGCAATTAACAAAAGCTACCTACCCATTTTTTTTATTTAAAAAAATTGTTTAAACTGTTGTATGCAACTGTAATTAACATGGTCATGATCTGATTTATAACATTTACATTTATTTTAAAAAGAAGATATAAGGATAGAATGAAGTAAAATATATTCTTACTATAATCAAGTTTTAATTAGGTACTTTAGTTACAAATGTTCATCAATATGACCTCCACCGGCCGCCCGATAGACATCTATACGGCATACGAATTCCTCTCAAACGTTGCTTTCATTTTTTATGTCACGGCATTCATAGCATCTGAAATCCTGAATTTGAGTTCTTCCAAGTTTTTAGGTAATTTTGGTATATAAACTTTCTCTTTTACGTAGCCCCCCAAAAAAATTACATACTGTGAGATCTGGGAAACTTGGTGGTTAGGGATAAATCGCCAAATCATTGTTTCCTTTATGCTTAATCAACTGATGAGGGAGTTTAAACAAACTAACGATAACTAGTCTACTAATCATTGCAGTGCCTCATTAATCAGCTACATAACTAAAAATAAACTTGATTATTTTATCTTTCCATTAGAACACGGGTCTCTAACAATATCAGTTCGTTCGGATGAAGATGTTTGAAACACGTGGTATAAACCTAAAAGTGTATATTTTTCTTATATTTTTGGTTATTACCATGGTTACAATAACGAATTCTACAGAACTTCAAACTATAGATTTATAGTCATTATTACGACTTGATTTGTATAGCTCGTGGCGTTTAAAGGCTTTCAATTGTTCGAAGTCTTTCACAATTATTTTACACTTAACGAAATCTTTGTATAAAGAAAGTGAATATAGTTATAGGTATTTAGGAGTCGAAATATAAACAAAAAAGATTCAAACCGCGATTTGTGATAAGACATGAAATACGTTAATTTGATTTCAACAAACTGACAGGTGTTGTCGTTTTACTGTACCCCATTACTGCGCGAGAGATTATTATATATTTATTATTATTATATATTATACATGTTTGGGACATAACACACATGAATCCCAGTGGAATACTACCACGTACAAATGGACGCGCTGTGATTTTGCAAGTAGTATCGTGTCGTTTCCAACGAAATATGACGTATTATTTGATACAAGGTTATTTATTTTCACCCCATTTCAATGCGTTCGTTATATTTTCAGCAGTTTAAAAATACTCTAATATAACAATATATAAAATAATGTATCATGCATATTAATTTTGTTTTTAAATATTTCAATTGGCAGTTTATTGTATTGACCTTTCAAAAGTTTTGTGTTAAAAAATATAATTCTCTCTAAAGTGAAATCTTTTAAACCGTAAAGGTGATTAGGTGAGACAGAAGTTGGGAGAAAATAATTTTATATCGAATGGTCTTTTTTTTTCATCGCCACTGCCGCATCATACTTGTTCTCGTTGAAACTTTGTAAACCATTATAGTTGGTAAACAATTCATATATGGTATTTGTTATCGCGTATCGTGTGTTATTAGATTAGAAAACGATAATAATTTCTGAGTAATAAATCGTATACAATCAAAATCATTATCACGTTTTTGTCATACCATAAGTATTATAGTTTTCACGTACATTAATAAAATGCATATAGTTTATACCCGCGGTTTAAAATATAAAATCAAAAGCAAATTTTGGTTATTTTTTAATTTTTGATCATTAACACTTCTAACATATAAGTCGAATTAACATTTTTTAGATTCATCATACGCTTTGTTTTGTATTTTAAAAGTTTTATTCTGTAACGTACACTGTTCGATTTCCCTTAGAGTGTTACAAATTGTATTTCAACAAAATTAGATTATATTTTTTTATCTTTATAACAATTTATTTTTTTTCGTCCGTAGATCTACGTGTAACATATTTTGAATTTTATTCAGCACAAAGTTTGTGTTACCTACAATATTTTAGGCCCTGTCGGAGAAAATCCGAGTGAGAAAAAAGTCACCAATATTTAGGTACCTACATTTGTGAGGCAATTCGTGTGTAAGGATAATGTTTTATCGTAGACTATGGTTTTTCAGTTTGACGACACCTAGTTAGCGAACATTTCGTTTGGTTGTACTTATTTTTAAAAACAAGTAAGAAATATAATAAAAATATACAAACATTTACTACGAAGGATATACTTCATTGCATCAATAAATTCAATACCAGTAAAATATAATTTGAGTTATATGGGTAAAATTATCTACTACAGGATAGTCGGAATTAATTTTATACCATTTTATAACGATGAAACAAGTCATCATACAAAAAAAAGGTTATACAAGAATATATTTTTATATGATTTTTACGTTAATATTTTTTGTTAACAATCAATGTCGTAAAATCTCATGATAGTATTTTATCATCCCTATAAATTTTAATCGTAGATACGCTCAAGAGAAATGTATAAGAAAAATAATATTATGTCTGAGTGTCGACGAATTGGGTGCCGGTGAACTGGGCTACACGTTGTGACCAGTAGCTAAGAGGTTGGTGATATGGAACAACGATCCAGATCCCAAGATTAAACGGGCCTGTAATGAAAATTCAAAACATATAAACATTAAAATAATCATAATTTTTTTTCTTACAATACCGAATCGCCTAAAATGTAAACGAATGTACTACAAACACATAGAATAACAGTTTTTTCCCGGTTTGTATTGTATTCGGACGGCAAAAAGTTTATTTGAGCAAGATGCTACTGTACGTAATACGAAGGAACGATTGTTTGACGATTTTAAAACGTCAACAACCGAGGCACTAAACGTACAGCACAACACTGTTGGTTGGGTTAGGTTAGGCACGATGCATCTATACGCAGTTCGGGGGTGAGTGCGTGACCGTGTAGGATTAGAGACGCGTAGACGCGCACCCGTAGTGCATTTCATGAGATCAGACGTACCCGTGGGAGGAGGACACAGCGAAAATCGGTCTGTGTACGGGCGCGTAACACACGCGCTACCCTTCCGAGGGCCGGGTTAACCGAAGGGTTGTCACGGACGGCGCGCGGCAGGTGTCGCGTACAGTGTACAATTCGCACCGTAACGGTCTGTCGTCGCGGTCTGGTCGTCGCGGGTTACCCGGTGCGCGGTCGTCGGCAGCCGCGGTCCTCTCGGTCGTCGGGCCAGTGCCGCGGAGCAGCCCACGCGCGACGCACGTTTCGCCCGACGGGAACGGATCGCCGAGCGCCGCGTGTACGCATGGTCGCCGCCCGGCACCTTGACGATATCTCGACCGCCGTCGACACCTCCGCGGGATCCGAACGCGCCTCCGCCGGGTTCTTTCATTTCTCTGGACACGGCGGTGCCGTAAACGATCGCGTCCGAACACACGTCGTCCGCGTCTCGGGTAAGCATGCCGGACGGACGACGGCGACAATGACGAAGATGTCCGCCAACACGTGGACCACGACCATGACGTGCTGGTGCTGGTGCTGGTGCTGGTGGTGGTGGTGGTGTACCGCCGCTCTGGCCCCGTTCGTCATCGGTGAGTGCCGTGCCGTTGCATTATCGTTGCTATTGCGTTTTTGTTTTTCCGTCGTGATCACTGCGCGCTACCGGGCAGGGGAGGCTGACGATCCCGTCACGTTATCCGACTGGTAAAATCATTTAGAAACTACGGGGGTGCGTTTTTTTTTTTAAACGTACCGGATATGATTTTAAAAATATTCGTTTTTTAATCATTCATACGACCGATTAAAAATATTAAAAATATACTCCGAACCGGGGTTCGATCACTTTGAATTTGAATTTATGATCCCTCGACAATATTATTATTCGTCATTCGTGTCCAATAGATTTGTGGGCAACAAATAAGTGCCATAAGCTCGTCGATCACGTATCACGGGTAAGTCACTGATAGATATGCGGATATTATTTTTTAACGGCTTTATATCAATACGATCGAATCGCGCACTGTTTTACCGGTCGGTTAGTTAGAAATGAGTCGATAAAAAAGACACATTTCGCATATACGGCGAGTGAGGGTAGGGAGAAGGAATATTGCCCCATGAGCCATTGATAGTTCTTTGATTCCGTTCGGGGAAACAGAATTAAATAACACTACATTTTAATTATTGTGATCATTCAGATGTAATTAGCAGAATGAAATCGGATCAGAAATTTGTATCTAACTATCAAAATAGTCGATACGAAAGTTACTTAATATTAATGTTTAAAATACATCATGCTTGAGTCATTAAAATGTAATTGGAAAATTAGTATTTTCAACCAATCGAATGAGTTCGTTATCTAAACGTTTCGAATACGTATATTAAAGGCGGATGTGCTAAATCAGCAAAAATTGTATAATAGGCAACTAAATATACACCATAACCAAAATATTTAAACCGTTATAATTTATGCATGTTATTATTGGTGTCGTATCTATATTTCGCTCACCAAAGAGACCTTGTTAACGCGAATGCAATGTATTTCGTTCACGGGTTAAACGATAATATTATTATATTACAGTTGTGTACACTTGCTTGTTGGAACGTTGTAGAGTTAGTAGTTTTGGTGGTGACTAAACATACAACATGTCTATACACGTGATGTATGTGAATTTCGTGATCATTTCATGATGATCATGTTGATCATTTCGTGTTAATTATTTGATTACGTTGTCGGTAGAACTTGTGATAAGATTAATTAAATTAATAGCTAGACAGATGCAAATCTTTTTTTTTATGTATTTAAACAGGAATACTTACAAGATATTCTTATAGAATACATATAAATAGTATACGTGATTTGCTTTATGTTTATTTAAGAATATATAGCTTGCAATTCATTAAACTCAAAAACCAAATATTTATAAATTTATTAATAAATTCTTAGAAATCTTAAATTAATTAAAAAAATTAAATTATAAATGATAATATAACAGTAACAGTACACTTGATAAAACATTAAAACACTTAATTTTATTTTTAATGATACTCATGAGAGAAAACCCCACATTATTACAGCTAATTAGTTATTAGTAATTTGATTACAGTGTACGTTCATATAACCATAAAATATAAATTATTTAAATATAGGTATTTTAAACGTGTTTGCTGTATAATGTGCATGTATCAAGTATACTTGAACTATTGGATACTAAATAATGATATTTTGTTCTAATTGTAGCGTTGTAAATCATTGATCTAATATCATGATAATTACACTCATAATAAACATAAATCATGTTTGGAGTATATAATAGTAATGAAATATCGAAAATTGTCTTTTAGATTAACTATAATGTTTATCCAAGATAAAGTAAAATGTATTGATTGAAAAAAAAAATTAACTATTATTGGTTTTTAATTTTTTCTTTTGGCGTATGTAGAATTGAATATCTTAAGCTATCACCGGATGTCCGAAAGTATTAGTAGTTGAAAAACGAGAACTGTGATTTCAGATAGTAATGAATTATGTGTTAATGAATATTCAGTGATTAAAGTTATACTCCGATGTAATAAGTCCATCTAAGTTCCTAATTTAAATGAGTATCTAATAAGGACGACGAAACATGTCTAGATATTTTATTTTCAAGGGGCTGATAATAGAAAGCGTCATATTATTTGGCTTGATTTGCTTGCGTTTATTTTTTTTCTCCGTAGTCTAAACATTTTTTCAAGCTTTATTAAATGGTTCAGAAGAAATTTTGAAAAGCATTTTATGTCTTGACGAGAAGGTATATGATTTCAGTTTGGAGTTTATTTGTTAAGTTGGCAAGATAAGCATCGTGAGAGTGAGGTAAATTGGAAATTAAAACGTTTTATTTATTCGGGACTAATATGTTACATATAGACACGATCAGTTTGATGGATACAATATTAGAAATTTCGTTAACAATGCGCTACTGAAAAATAACGCTACAAAGAGTGGAAGGAATTTGGGCCGAGATATTAGTGTAAGTTGAAAGCGAACTTTGCGAAAGAATATCTTATCACAATCGCGGTCAAACACTTGCACGATATCAAAGAAATAAGAATTAATTAATTCCACAATAAAATAATATAAATATTGTTTTGCAGTTTTTAGTGGTGTGCATTTAATGTTAATATTATTGTTGTTGATTGTTTGGCTATCATGTGGATAACAAAGAATACAAGTGTAAAAATGTAAAAGCAAGAAAAAAAACTATAATACGTTAAAACGTATATTTACGTTAAAACTATATAGTTAATTGTATAAATGACAAAATTCGTAGTTTTATATTCTACGACTAAAATAATTTAATAACTTATTTAGTCCACGAATAATAATATAATCACGTAAAATTATATAAACTCTGACTATCAAAGTATATTATTTTATTCATATATGAGTATTTATTAGATAAGTATACATTTTAATTCTCATGGAGTAACTTAGATAATTGTGGTTGAATTGTTTCATTACACATTATCAACCTAGACCATTTTTTTAAAAAATGATATACGAGTATACGCACTTATTTTATTTTCTACGAATATTAATATATTTTACTTTTGTAGAATATAAATTTGCGTCTTATATTTTAATAAATGTTTTTTACAAACTTTTTTCAAGTATAAGCTTTATGTGGCTGTTGAACATTAGGTATGGTTACGTAATATACTTCTAACTTTTTTCGTTATTTAAATTATTCTATTTTATTGAGAGAGAGACACTGTATCATTGCATTATGATCATTTTTCAATCGAATCCTATTACCTAAGTAAACTTATTTTGCTTAAATATGTTTAAATTTTTTTTATTTTTTGTAAATCGTGTTCTTTTATGTTTCTTTTATGTAACAAACTTTGTATTGTATATTTTTATCAATGTTAATACTCAAAAAATTTTCACTATTGTTACAATCGTTAACATTTTTTGTATTATTATACAAACAGCATGAAAACTCAATTTGGATAAAACAAAATATTTTATTTCTTCAATCAATTTTGCTTTTTCGTATGTACGAAAACTTCATTTTAATCGTATTACATAAGTTTTATTTGATTTAAACATCAGTCAATACAAATTACTTTTTGTTTTAATTTTTTTCAAATATCGATATTCAGATGGAAGAAACTATTACTAAAGTATTTCATAAAAATGTAAAATCTATTACAAGCATAGTAATATAGTTTAATAAATACTGTGAAATTTTCCCAAAATAGAACAAGATTTGTTTAGAGTTCTACTGTACACATCAGTTTATTTTGATTCAGTTACAAATGATATTAACTTATCTAAAATATTAGAGTAAACATTATAAATAAAGCCATATTTATGTAAACAATTAGGTATTATCAATGCATATCGAAGAGTAAATTGTAAATATTTAAACATATTTATTGTCCTTGTGATATTTTCATGGATTATACAAATCTTTTTGTAGATAAGTAAACTAAAGGGTCGTTTATGTTTCTATTTTCGATAAAGCACTAACATATCTTTTTTATACTGTAGTCTTGATACCTAATCTTTTACATATTCATACAACTAATGACTTCCATACATTAACCGTATCGTTACAAAACATATTTATGATTATTGTCTTATCTGTAATTTTTATCCATAATCATTTATACAATCAAAACTCAAACTTCTAAGCGTTGCTCATTGTGCCCTAGGAACAAAAGAAAGTTTTACATTACATCAAACATAATAGTATAACTTCGTATAACTTTTTATTCATGTATAGCTTATAAACAAATCCGTGTAAAAAGTTACGGTTTGTAAAAGTTAGCCGTTCAAGAATAAAATATATACATTTCATTAACACAATATTAATACTGACATTTATAATTTACTTTTACGAGTATATTTTGCGAGGCGTGTATTTATCCAGACGTGTTATGTAGATAATATTAATGATATATTTCAAATGCGTTACAATTTGATGAGCTTATATGGAAAAAGTACACGATTTTCATCATTTGTATAACAAAAGATATTATTAACATTGATTAACTTTTATTGAAAAAAAGATCACAGCTCAATAATTGAAAATAAAATAATATTGTATAATATAATGCACAGTTAATCGAAGAATCCTTAAATAACTAAGTTTTTCTATTCAAATTTGTTTAAAACAAGATTAGATACCTTCATAGCATTTATCAGTAAATATATCTAGTTTTAATTTAAATAAATAACTATTAATGATAAATGTATACGTTTATAAGTTTTTAATTGTTTATATTAAACAGTCTTATGTACAGGACTATTTTGTTTACTGTTGTGTTAAAATCATTTTTTTTCCGTGAGAAAAGTTTTGAATCGGTGCTTTAAATTAGTTTAGTTAAATTTGTTTGTATTTGAAAATATTTACTTTAAGATTATACAATAATAAACGCTTAAGTTGTACTATATCAAAGAAATGTTTGTGAAATGAAGTTATTTAATTTACCACTAAAACAATCATTTTGTTGTAAAATCGAGATTAAGAGGGTTTTTACACCAAAAAGCTTAACCAAAATATCAGATAATTAGATATTTGGTGTATAGGTAAGTTAAGAATATGTA